CAAAGGAGTCTATGGAAAGAACATGTAGCTTGAAAACAAATGATTTGCAAGAAAAGTAAGCAGAGTTCAGGTTTTTCAGTCCGTTTTCTTCACTCTTGGCATCAGGCTTTATAGGAATATTAAGAAAACAGAGTGACAGCAACAAAACCTGATACTCTTCTTGTGTTCCTCTGGACACAAGCTCCAAAAGGCCATGGAACGTGGCTTGACAGCAGAACAATTTATGGAGTGCAGTCTGTGAAGTGATGTTCCCCAGAATCTAATTGCAAAATAAGTGGTAATATGCTTATTCTGTACTTACTTGGCTGCCAGACATGACAGTCATTCCATCTCAGAATATAAAGTGAGGTCTGCAGTGCCAGGCACAGCAGGCCAACAATATTCTGTGGAAGGCTAAGTTTCTGAATTTCATTAACTGTAGCTGATTTTATTCGTTTCTTTTGGTTTGGTTTTTTTTTTTAGTGCATTGGTAATAACTTAAATGCCATCCTAATAATTTAAGGGTTTGATATATGTTGTGAGAATCCAAAGAAAAATACATAGGCACTGTAGTTAAGAATCAGTCCAAAGACCAAGAAGTAGGAATAGGAACATATTTCAACTCTAATGGAAAATGAATATGGTAGAGCTTTGTTAATTACCTGTGTGCAGACATTCCATATTAAAGGAAAAAACCTGAAACCTGGGCTTATTATGGGTATTTTACAGAGTATTAACATAGATTTCAATACTTTGAATAGTGATGATTAATGTAAATATCCTAATTTTAATTTCTAATAGTATACAGTGCAACGATCACATAACTAATAGGAATAGAAAAAGATAAGTAAAAAGCTTTTGCTCCTTAAGAAAATACACTTTCCATGGAGCATAATTTAGGAGTCTGATTCCCATTCATTATGTTGTCAGAGTAAATGGTTCAGGCACTAAAATGTTTGATTCAGTTATAGGAAAGATTTCATAAAGATTGTTTTAATCTCTAGGCATTCAGAAGCTAAATATTTAAGCAACCACTAGACCTAATGTTTGAATTTTTAACTACCATTAAACTTCAAAAGACAAAATTACAAGCTGCACTCATAAACCTGAACTTGTGATACATCCCAAACTCAACTCCACTGAGTTGCAGTTTCTATACAAACTGTAAATTATCAACAGGCAGTGTGAGTATTTAACTACCAGTAAAAATAGGTGTTATTAAAAAAAAAGTAAAGTTTCATGTAATTCTAATGAAATGTATTTAAATAGGGAAAACAGCAATAAAGTATAAAACAATATGCTTGCTATGGTTATGAAAGAGTAATCCAAAACACTCTACAGAATCAGCACTGCACTATGTCTGTCTCCATTATTAGCTTATACTATTTTTATTTCTCATTGCTTTCACCCCTCAGGAACATGGTGATAGGAAAGGATTCTCATCTCAGATGGGCTAAAATTGACATCCAAACTAATAAAACCCTAGAAATTCAAACAAACTTTACTATTCGGGGAAAAAATGTAAAGAAAAAGTTATATCCAAAGCAATAAAATAATGGATATGATTTAATCTGGTAAAAATATGTGTTATAAAATAACTGCTAAGGAAATTAATGGATTTCCCAAATGAATGAGATGGGACTAATTGCTGTACTAGACTGGAGAAGTCTGTTCTACCTGTAGTGGGGTAAGGCTGGTGTAGAAGTTGGGTGTCTTGCTTGGTTGCTGTCACTTCCATGATCCCACTGGAGCTGATGTTTAATCTGTGCCCGTGGGATTTACATCCCTTTTAGTAGTTTCTGGTTGTCTCGAGGGTGATCCAAGTGTATGAAAGTTTATTGTGTTAAAAATGGTTCAGGGGCCTGGGCCATCACCTTGGGGCACATGAGACTCCCCGGGGGGAGAGGGGGAGTTCAGTGCTCTGTCTGGGCAGGTGGAAGGGTGGAAAATTACTTGATTCCTTGAGGAAGGCTACAGGAGCAAGAGGGTGGATGATCTCTATTCAGGGAGCTGGAAGAGGAGTAGTTCAGTCAGTGTGTGTGGGTTAGCAGGTATGTCCAGGGAGGAGGTGTTGGATGTACCAACACCTGGAGTTACACACAGGGTTACAGGGGATGAGCCAGGGAAAGCCAGGCTGACTGCAGTTCTCAGAGTGAGTTGGCAGAAAGGCTATTTCTTGGGAAAGAAACATTATTTTACTTGTAAACTGAGCAAATTTAGTTTGGGCATAATTGAGAAAAAATAATGACGGAATCCTGCAATGCTAGATTTTTACAATCCCCATTCACATTAAGCTGCACTCAGAAGAACCCCAAAAACAAAAAGATACTTTTTCCCAAGCTGTGAACATATGAACTTCTTCCATAGCAGAGGTTCCCCACCAGTTTATCAACCCGTGGGGGAAAAAAGAGGAATGGGACTATAACTGGTACTATCACTATGAACTAGGACTGTAACACAGGGAAAACTGATGTTGTTTTTTATAGTTGCTTAGATCAGTGATTTCAGAATGCTCTTGGGAAGTTAAGATAATGGCTGCTTGAAGGAGGCTTGTGATGGTTGTACAGCATGTGGGCTGTAGTCCTAGAGACATGTTTTCTGTAATTATTGCCAGTAATCGAGTGAGAATGGTAACTTCAGGGGTGTATTATTATGATGAAATTGAAATTAAAAAATAAACACTCTCATTAATTTCAGTGCACCAAGCAGACAACTCCCCCAACTTAAATGCATTCGTAATTTTGCAGTGATTTCTTTTGAGGGGACAGTGAAATATGGGTGCAGTGGTGGGAGTCTGCATCTGCTCACACTCACCTCAGGCAGGGAGCACTGGCAGGAAACCCCACAGGGCTCAGCGAGGCCAACGAGCTCCCACCTTACTGAACAGACACTTTGATTTAAAAAAATGTTCTGTGCAATCTCAGCACCTGTTTCTTCCTTGAGAAGCGTTATATTTTCCACATATCTCTTTAAAATATGAGTAAGAGTATTCATGGGGTTTGGGGGTTTTATTGGGGAATATTTTAATAGTTTTTCATTTTTTGCAAGCGTATTCAAATTTCTTCATGTAAAATACGCAGATGTGCTCTCTTGTAACTGCAGTTGTGATGTCCACAATGTTACAGAAATGATTGCAGGCTTTTTACTGCTTAAAAAAGAAATTTAGTCCATATTGCCAGTGATTTATATTTGTAATTTTCAAACAGTACCTTTTCATAATCAGAACCAATGCTTTCCTTTTAAGCTGCTGCTATGCAAAAGAGTCCTAGGACTTATTTCACAGAAACTATAAAGTCATTCAAGGCAGTGAAAGATCTTGCTTTTTTGACCTTTCAGAAAGTCACTCAGTTGAGCAGTCAGGCCGTATTATTGTATATCTTGTCTAACATGAGGAAACAGTCCCCAAAGAAAGATATCCCAAATTAACGCCACACTTGGTTAAATAGAGACATTCTTGGTTTTCAGCAGGCTAATTCAGTGCAGTTCAGCTCGGGCAGTGCTTTGTGCTGGGATCAGGGAAGGCAGCCCTCAATGGAGGGAGTTCATCCCGGTTTGACACCTCGGTGAGGGGCTGAAAGGAGGGCTGGGAGGGAGGGCCCTGCCTTTGGGCTTGAGACAATACCCCGGGAAAGAGGCCCCTCATTCACAACTGGGCTCCAGCAAAGGAGGCAGACTGCTGGGGAGCACTGGTACAAACAGGTACAATGGGAATTAGCCACGACTTGACTCGTCAGACACCTCTTGATTTCTGGTTGCGACTGTTCTTGTAATCCAGTCCCTGTCTGAGCCCTCAGCCCAGCACATGGTTCACGGGATTTCTGTATGAGCAAAAGACTGCCTGCTTTGGAAATGAAAAGTATTGTACAGAATAAAAGAAATGTAAAAAAAAAAAAAAAAAAAAGGAAGTCATAATATAAACAAAAATTCTTTACAGAAACAAATCATGTTTTATATTTGACATCGTTTCAGTTTGTAAATTTTTGTCCCTTCCACTTCTACACTGTGAAATATATGGCTTATAAATTCAGATAACAAAGAGTGATGAGCAGTCACAAAATTCACGTTCTGTACTTTAACCCATCTTTAAAATTTATTTTAAAAAAGTCTGGACATATTTTTGTTACTCTCAGTCAATAAATATCACCCTCACAACCAGTACATGCAGTCTAACGAAATAGTAGATTCTGTGAGGTGAAAGAATGATGTCTGCTCTGTTGCTACCAAGTTAATAGTGTTTGTGAGCCATATCCAGATTTTGAACACACTTTCAGAGCATGTTTTCTGTCCAAACTTTCTGCAGCAAGTCCATCAGAACATAGCAACACTCATTTTTGAAGATACTTGCTAATAATGACACCAACCTGAGAGACCAGTGGACAGTTTCTTAACCCTGACACTTAGACAGTGGCTGCTTTTATCAGTATCAACAACCCCAGGAAATAGCTTTGCTTTTTGGATATGTAGGATAAAAAGAACTGATTATTTACTCAGTTTTAGGTGTTGCTGACAGAGGGTTGCTTTTCAGCTCTGACTTAAGCTGGTGATCTCACTGGAATTTCCATGGGACCTTTCTCCTCTAGGAGCTGCCATGAAAGCTGGGAATACATGTTAGTCTGCAGGGTTTGGTGGTTGTTTTTCAACAGTCTCATCCCAGGGACCTGTTTCTGGGATATTTCATTTAAAGTATCACTTTTTGCTTAGAACCTTAAGCTAAGTCTAGATACAAGAGGAGAGACAGGGGAGCCCAATTCCTGATAGCCTTTCTAGCATTTCTTAATTATTTATTCAGATTTTATGACAAAAAGAACTTGAAAAATACAAAAAATTTTGAACAAGGAGTACATTAAAATTTCCTTTCATTTTGAATATTTTCTCTTCCTGAGTTCAACAAATCAAGAACATAAATCATATTAAATATTTTATAGCTATATATGTAATTCAGTACTGTCTTCTAGTAGATGTTTTGGTCAAATAAGTGTGCACTACTAATATTTGTTTGTTTGGGGTTTTTTTCCTCACAGTTTTCATATGAATCCTTCTGGCATTGAGGATCTCAGGAAAAAATCGGTGAGTTATGAATGTTATGGAAAGACATCAGTAAATGCCAACTAAATGGTGTTTGACACAATATAACCTTATATTCTTTTTTAACCTCCTATGTGGAAATGTTAGAATTTTTTCTTTCTCTTTTGACATACCCTGAAAATCTAATTAGAAAATCACAGACTTAATGGAAATTTGGGAATAAAGAAGAATTTTACACTCAATACACAGTGTACCTGTGATGTGATGATGAGGAAGGAAAAATTTAGGTCTTTGCACAAAAAGTAGGAAAAACAGGAACAAAACTGTTTCTTTGGGGGTGCTTTAGGTGACTAATCTAGAGAAGTAATAGTCAGGTGAGGAACTCTGCATTAAGCAGTGGTGTGTTGATTGACCAAACAGGAATTTACTGTCACTTTGATCAGAGACTTGAGGACAGTCTGTAGATGGCAAATCAAAATGGAAATAATGAGCTGATATATGATAGGATTAATAATACACATAATACATGAACAGCCTCTCAGAAAGCATTAAAAAATAGAAATACTAAAAGATATTATTCCAAATGCTCTTCGTTCTCAAAGTACCAAGAATAAATTGTGTACAAAGAAAAAAGGCATAGGCAATGTCTTTGTTTGAAGGAAAATGTGGTCTTACTGGGGTTTGTTCTCTGAATAGATGAAATCTTTATAAGTGGGTTTGTTTTCAATCTTTAAAATATATAGAAAACAAGGTTCACAAGCAAATATGGCTTTGTACTGTTTGTTTTTCACTGGTTTATGTAAATGATTTGTCATAACAATTGATGTTATTGTAAATGCCCAAGTTTTTATAATGTGAGTTACTGGTGGGAGATGTCAGAGTATTTGAAGGCTGCCTTTGATCAGATAGTAAACTGAATTCTACCAGGCAGTTACTTAATCTCTGACAAAAAGCGACATCAAAAAAATTGATTTGACTTAGCAGCCATTGTCTGTAAAGTAACCATAATTACAGTTTCTATGTGCTTGCAAATGTACGACTGCAAATCACGTAATTTATTGCTGGTAAAAGCATCAGTTGAATTCTTTTAAGAAATAAGATGTGAATTGTTTTATTTAAAGGATTTAAAGGTGATAAAAGAAATCCTTGATGATTTTTCCTTTGGAATACCAGCTATCCTAAATGTCAGTTGCAGGATTATGAGGTGGCACTCATTTAATACAAAATACAAATGAGGTGGGGAAGAAATTATATCTCAACCATAGTTTTGAATGAAACCATTTGATTTTTAAAAAATATTCAAGATTGCTTTCTAAGGTGTTTGAAGTAATTTATTATTAGGTTCTGCAGTAATAGCCCTCACCAAGTTATTATTTTTCTTCCTTGTGCATATTATTTAGTAATTATGTTTGTATGTCTTCCACTGTGATGCCAACACCTGTCTGTGAAAGCAGTGTTTAAATGGGAGCAGTAGCCAGTTGAAAGGGCAGCGTGAGCTCTTTAAGGCCTAATTAAGAACTGAAAGGAAGATGAAGTAAGTAGGACAAAAGATGTGAAAGTAACTTAGATGATATTCCCAGAGCAGAATTCCTCATTAGAACAATGAAGAGATGATCAGAGATTGCCTGGCCTTCATTTTATCTAATGCCATTTCCTCTGCCTGGCAGTGTGTACCCCAACAGCACTTTGTAGATGAGACAATAACTTGCATATCTTGTTCTTTAGAATCCTTTTTTTTTCTTAATAATTCATTATAAGATTAATGTTTTGCATTAAAATTTTTTTTTTTTAAGGACATAGGTGTTCCTTATACATTTAAATATCATCTATTGGCTCACATTGAATGTTTAAAACCTTCTTAATTTGAACAATTATTTATTTCTAGGTACTACTGTACTTTAAATAGAATTTTTTTGCATAATTAATGTGATAAGTTATTCTCCCCAAAAGATGTGCATGGAGCATTAATATCTTTAAAACATATGTATTACACAAACTTTTCAAGTAAACTTGATAGAATAATTAAAGACATCATTGCATCTTAATTCCTGCTCCTTTGCCAAATCAAAAAATTAGGCAAACTTTGTATTTCAGACATGTAAGTGTTAATGATATCTTTTCCAATGTGTACAAAAATTTAGTAACCTGAGGAGAAAATTTCGCATGCTTCTTGTAGAAGAAAATCTGTTAAAAATATGGCCAAAAGGTGATTTTTCTCTTCTATACTTGTTGGAAGTCAATTCCTAACGAATTTATAAATTTCATCAGGTGAACAATTTTAATAAAGTGGGAGCTACTGATTACTTACAGTCCTGTAACTTGGTAAGTTTGAAATACTGAATACATGTACATAAACGTGATATGAATTAAATGGAGGGAAAAACCTTTAGAAGCACATATTTTTGAGAACTGTTGCTAGAATATAATTGATGGAGAGAGGCTGATCTGTTGCACTTCAGCCTATTTGCAGAGCACCATCACTTTTAATTGGGTGTATTTGAAAACTTTGGCCATCTGCGTGTTTGAATGGTTTGACATATGCCAGTGTGCAAATATGGAGCTGTATGGCAGGAAAGGGAGTGGAGCATGGAAAAGGAATGGATATGACTTTATTATGCACTGTGCTTCTTAGCTGTGCAAGCTTTATATTTTTTAATGCTTCTACTGTAAATAAAAACTGTCTTGTGTTCTTCTGCCCGGTTAGAGCTGCAGGGCTTTTTAGGTTCCATATCTTCTAAATGTTTCCATTTCTGGATGAGACCAAACTTGCTGCTTAGCATGTCTAGCAGTGCTAATACTTCTGTAAACCAGCTCTCACAATCTTTTTTCAGTTCTACATTTCAAAATTGTTCATTGTCTGGTTACGTAAGGTCACAACTCATTCTTGACACAGAATAAGACATTCAAGTTTATAGTGGTTTGGATCACATGTTGCCCTTTGTTAAGAGGACTGACTTGTCCATCTCTGCTAATACCTGCACTTACTGAGTCATCAGAAATCATTACAGAAATAATGTTCCCTGCTGCTTAATTCTGGGCCCCTCCTGCTTTATGGTAAGCAAGGAGCAAGCAAGGTCTTTTGTAAGCACACATTTCTGGTTTCGGTGCTCCAGTGAAAATAAGATGCAGCCTTTTACCTTCACCTGAAATTTAAAATTGGAAGTTTTATTACGTGATTCAGAAGCCAAGGCCTGGAGAACCACTGATGACTAAAAATAGAATATGAAAGACAGATGAGGGCTGATGCCATTTAGGGCTGAGTAAGTGCTTTGCTGTGATGTGCTCCCGAAGCGAGAACTCGGGGAAGTTACAGCAGGACTGGAATTCTCAGGGCCCTTCTCTTGTTCTTCAGTAATAAAGGTTACCACAGAGTTGGTTTCCCAAAATGGACCTGCCATTCTTGTGGTTGCTGCTCATATGGTCATTAACTGTGTGTACACCTCGCTGAGAAGAATATTTTTCTGAGATGACAGTGTGGGATTCATCCATTGAGCTGTGCAGCCTGTCTCTGGTGTCTGCTCCAGTGGGGTATGGCAGGGAAAAGATCTGGAGCAAATGGAGGTGTGTTGTCTGAAAGGAGCTGCTTCTACAAAGAGCTGCACATGAGAAATGTATGAAAAACAACAACCCATCAATTTGCTGAAGTATTTAATGAAATCTGCTGTTTTTTCAAACCTTCCCTGCAGGAAGGAAACCCTTTCGATGCCACTGCTGGATACCGGAACCTCACCTACGAGGAGGTTCTGCAGGAGCTGGTGAGACACAAAGAGCAGCTGAAGAAGAAGGACAGCCACATCCGGGAGCTGGAGGACTACATCGACAACCTTCTGGTGCGAGTGATGGAGGAGACCCCCAGCATACTCCGGGTGCCATACGAACCTTCCCGCAAAGCTGGCAAGTTTTCCAAAAGCTGAGCCAGCGGGACCTGGGGGTACTCCCGCTGAATGCTGTAGTGGAAGGAAATCACACTTCAAGATTGTGGCTTCTCTTCATTCCTTTTCTCCTAAGAAATTCCAGGAATCGCCTTCCAGGGAGAAGGGGCAGTGGCGTGGGGTTTTTCTTTTGTTTTTTGTACTCCAAACACTAGCAGGGACCGCCAAAAGTTATACTCTGTTAAATTACCTGAGGAACTTTTTTTTTTCTTTTTGAAAACACCTTTAGGTACCGAATACTTAAAATAGAGTTAATAATACACATTAAATATGTCCATGAGTTTATATACATAGTGTTCCCCATGTGGCAGTTTCAGCTGGGAAGCCTGTGCTGTTATGGGTGTTTTCTTGAATGATTATTGGTATTAGGCAATGTATCTATTCTTTTATTACAGCATGCCACCAAGACCACTGTTATCAGGCCAGTGTAGTAGTATTCTGCTAAAGCTAAGTGTGGTTTATTGCAGTGGAGTGTAAAGGCTAACAGTGATGCACAATCTTTGCAGAGTAAATGCTGTATTCTATACAATGTGCTTCTTCTATAACAATGTAAAAGAACCTGTGCCACTTCTGTACTGGCATATGCTGGAAACAGTTATTTTACACATAAATGCTGAATTTTGTGTGTAATGAGTGAACTTTGGTGGTGAGCTCATGACATAAGGTTGTTTTGAGGATCTTTTTGTATGAAGTTGCTGCATGCCTTTTTATGTGTTAAAGTCCTTTGAACAGTGTTAATAGAGTCAGAGGTAGGACTGGAGAGAAGTATGGAATAAAAATACGAATACTTTTGTCCAGTCAAAGTCTACTGCAATGAAAATGTAGCAGAAATGGAGAGGCTGACTTAAATAGACACGATAATTCAAAAATGTAGAACTGACTCAATGTAAAGTTGAGTTTTACATTATATATGTCTTAACTTTTTAAATCTTATGACAATGAAGTATATGCCTTTAGAAATAGGCCATGTTGCTTAAACACATATAGAGTACTTAGACCTTTCATTAAAATATCTGCATCCATGTAAATAGTTCTAAAAGTCACTTTTCATTGAGGCAAATGAAAGAAGAATGTAGTAAATATCTTCCTGATCATTTAATAATTGTTTATGGAATGACATATGAAAATGGTATCTGTTATTCAATGAATTGGCAAAATATAGTGATGTACATGTAATGGGGAAATACTTTGAGGAGAAGAATCCTCAAAATATTATCAGAAGGAGATTTTAATTTTAATTTCCTTAATAAGAATCTCGGTTGGATTGTCTCTTGCTGTGAAACAGTAAGATAATATTAACAAAAAAGTGCAGAGAATATTTTAGATCTGGGTTTAAGAAAACTGTCTTTTCCTTTTCTTTTTCTTTACTTGATCTGTTTTTTATTTTCTTACAGCACCATGAAATGATTGTTGATGAGGTGGCAAAAAAGCTTGAAATTAAATTCCAATTTTTTGTTGTTGTTGTAAAAGACTTAAATATACTTTTATTTTTAAAACTGCAAAAATTGGTAATATCTTGAATAACCATAAGTGAAAAAGTTGTATCTGAATGCCTTTGATGCCATTAGTATTGTATGGCAGCACAGAATTATTCCTGTTAGGAAAAAAGCTTCTTTGTACAAATGTTCTCAGATTTCATTTACCTGTTTGGGGCTTTTTCTCCTTTATTTTCTTCTTTTCTTTAGCAGCTACCTCCCACCCCCCTAGTGCTGTCCCTGAAATGTGTGCAGCCTGAGTGTTCCCAGCCCTGCCCACATGCAGAGCTCTGCACTCAGAGTTGGTGGAGCAGAGACCTGCTCACACATCAGGCACTTTGTCAGCCTGAGGATTTATCAAGCTGGGGACCTCATAAACCACATGAATGTTCTTTTGGACCCACTGAAGATCCAAATGACTGTAAATTTGTTGTAATGTACTCCAAGTGCCAAAGGTTCTGTGCTGGGTTATGGTACGTTTGCTGTTGGAACTTAGGTTTTGCACTCAATTAGAGTTTCATTTCCTAATTACACCAAGATGTATTTCAGTTACTCAGTATTTCCATAAAAATTCTCAAACATTTTCAAATGCTTGGCAAGTGGTTTTCTCATGTTGATGGGGAAGTGTTGTGCAATTGTTTGGAATTCCACAGTCATTTTCAGCTAACTGGTATGAGACCATCTCTAGTATCTACTCTGCTTAAATCAGACACCCCAGTGGGGATTAACGAGTAAACTAACCACAGAATGTGCTCCAATGACTTCTCACGTGCAAGCCAACTTATAATTATTAAAATGAAACTCTACTATATTTAGCACCTCTGAAATCACTCCTTTTAGAATGTAAATGTAGAATATCAAACTGCATAATTGACTAAAAGCAGATCATTTGACATATTTGCATACCAAGAACGATAAGCAGATTAAAGGTAGCGAAAAGATCAATTTTTGTGCATTAGTGAAGAAATTTAGTGAAGCTTTCAATGTACTACCTAGTCTGTATCTGATCTGCATGTTGAATAAAAGCACCTTTTGTTTCTGACAGAAAGAGGGGAGAATGACAAATGCAATTTAGGAAAAGGTAAAGTTATTTAGGGAGGCAGAATGGGACATTTACAACTATGAAAATATTTTTGTGGAGTTCTTTTAGGTAAAGATATAGGCTGCTTTTGGAGGAATTCTTGAAAGATTATATACACATTTTCTGTTTAGTTTCTATATTTTGAGATTATTTTTGAAAAGCGTCTTCACCCTACATGTGTTTTTTGAATCATGCAGCTTTCAAAATAAAAGATTTCATACAGAGTAATTTATATGTTGAAAACAAAGAAAGTTCTGTTTCTCCCATAGAGTAAAATTGTCAACTTTCTTACACATCATTTTAAAACCATAATAACTTGCTACTTATAGTCAGTTTTTCTTGCCCTTTAAAATGTAGGAATGAAAATTTTGAGCATCTCCATATTATTTTGATATTTTCTCTCAAAAATTAGCATAGGAGTTCATCCATGCATGCACTATACTTTGAAATTATCCTTTGAAACAGCTCTGCTCATAGCCATGTGTTTTGGTTACTTTAAAGGACAAATATGAAGGCCATACTTTATTGTTGTAAGCAAGAAATTTAAACTTTTTGCCATTCAAGAAGGTTGTTTTATATTTATGTATGTTACCCCTTGCTGCTGTATTTTATGTTTAGCTTGGTTTTCCACCTACTAATGAATGTAGCATTCTCCCTAGATTATCCACAACTACATTTATTGCTGTTGGCTCTGTGTCAAGAACTATTTGTAGTTTTCCAGCTGTGAAAAATGTTGCCTTGCATTTAGAAAGGTTTCATGATTTGGGGACCTAATGAAAATCATGCTCATTAGCTCCTGGTCTGCATTTCTTTCTGCCCAGGATGCCCTTTCCTTGGTGCATCTTGACAGGAGCAGAACTGCTGTCTTAATGTGTTTACTGCTGCACTGGAGGGTTATTTACACCTCCAGCTTTAAAGAAAGATTGTTGTCCTGCATCAGCTGTGTAAAGTAAGCTCATGCTTTGTGCTCTTTCTGTCCCCATTGCTGCTGTAGGGTTGGTAGAGGCTTTCCCAGGGGTGATGTGTAAAGCAGGGTGACCAGCTTGCTCTCCTTGAAGTACTTGGTGAAGGATTCTAGTGCTGCTGTGTTGAGGATGCTGGATGTAAGGGGCTGTCAGCACTTTCAGTAGGAAACCCTGTTTTCAGGGATCTGTAGCTTAAAAATGGAGATACAGTCACTGGAAGTACTTAATATGCAACAGGTAGCACTTTAGTGTGTCTATGAAGGGTTTGAGGTCTCCTAAAGCACGGGGGGCATTCGCTGTGTCTGTTTTAATTTCTGTGTTGAAGAAGCCACTGTATGTTACAAGTGGTAGAGCCATTCCTGGTCATCTCAGAAGCTTCCAGATGTCCTGTATTACAATGTACTATAAAAAGCTGAAGATCCAGGTTCTATAGCAAGTCTGTGAAAGATAAAAACATTACTTATGACTTAAGGGTTTATTTTGTCTCGTGCAATCAATGGTAGTTTGTCTACATTTAATAATGGTACAGAATCATAACTATATGCACTTATGAGAACTATAAACTTAGAATGCATGAAAAACTTTATTTTTGTTTCATTATTGCAAGTTCAGATCCTTTTAATTTGATTAAAATGTTATCTTAATATTTTAATTTTTGTTCATTAAATAAATATTGCATGTCTAACACTAATAAAGCACCACAATGCACTACCACAGTATTTCTTGAATTGTGATATTAATCTGTGTTATGCAAAGCATGTGAGTCCTAAGCTGTGTTTAAGTGTGTAAGAGCCATGCTGTTAAGGCTCTCAGACCACAGAGAGGGGTGTTTCCTTAAGGACAGCTCCAAATGAATATCCCAGATGTTTGCAGGGTAGCCACTAAAAAAACTCCATATTCTTAAATGTACTAATCTGTATTATCTTTTTTCATACTGTGTCTGCAATCCTTTTAAATGCACTATTCCTGTGATTCCCTGGGTGTGTAAATATTACCAGGAGATCTTTGGCTCTGCAGACCAGAACTGCATTTAGCATGAGGACAAGCACTTCAAATTTTGATATGGAAAACATGACACGTATTTCTCTTCATACTGACAGAAAAAACCCAACCAGAATGACGGAAAACTCAACCATCCTCCACCCCTGCCCTGCCCCATAGGTATTTTTTTCAGTGTACCCACAAGTTTTTCAACACACTTTTCCCTGAAAAAATAGGCTTTTGCCTGTCTTCTTTTCCTCTTCTGTGAAGCAGCAAACCAGCAAAGTCTGTCCCCGACAAAAGTAGGTTTTCTGGCTGGTAAAGCAGGTATGGAGAATAGTCCTGGCTCGAGACAAGAACTCTGTGAATAGTTCACCTGGTTACTTGGAGCCTTGAATTTCCCAGGGATGTGTTCCCTTCCCCTAATAAAGGTTTTCAAGGATATTTTAAATACAGTTTAGCAGTTAAAAAACTCTTGAAATTAAGATGTGTCATTAAAGACAATTCTCTCTCCAGTCACATTTATAAAAATATTTCTTATGGAGCCATAAATATTTACTCTGAAAATCAGGATTTCATTTCCATATTTTAAGTTGTTTAATTTGTTTTTTTGGGAGTGTTGTGCAAGTTCTGACTGCAGCTCACTTGGGATACATTGCCCTTTTGTGTAACACTGGGCATGCTTGTAAAGTTATAAATAATGATGATGAAAAACAAATCTCATCTCTTATTCTGCATTAATGAATTAAATGTTGGATTATTTTGCTGGATTGTTTTGTAATAGTGCCATTTTATGAGAGATGGGAATAAGACTATCTGCTAAAGTGAGCTGTTTTCTCTTGTCTGTACTTATTGAGTAATGACAACAGAAGGCTGCCACACTGAGTCCAGCCCAACCTGGAGACTGTGGGGCATTGATTGTGTAATGCTTATATAAATATCAGTATATTCAGTGCTGGAAGCCAGTGGCTATTACATGGGGATTATTGCAATGTATTTATAATGTGTTTTAACAGCATTTAGTAATGTAGATCAGTCTGATAAATGGATGATGATTTAGGACAGAAAAGTACCCTATGTGGCTAAACACTGACATGTTTATACTTCAAAAGTAAGCTGCTTATGAAGGTTTTAGGGGCATGCAACATTTAAATGAAGCTGAATATTAAAAAGGGGGAAAACTTTGTGGGATGTTTTGTTGTTTCAGCCTGAACAGTGTCTGCTGTGTGACATACAGGGAGTGAGTAGAAGCAGCACTGGGGAGATTCCACTGTTGAGAACCATAAAAACCACCATCAACAAGAAGTTAGTAGGGCTGGGAGTCTGGTTTTAGGGGATCTATTTGCCTGGCATGTGCCAGGTTCTTTTTGTAACAGGAAGAGTTAACCCAGCATCCTTTCCCAGCAAGATCAGTGTCAGGGTGAAACCCCCCCAAAGGTGGTTCTTTAGCAGAAGGGGGAGTTCCCAAAGTGCCAGGGATGTGGGGCAGGTGTCAGGCAGGAGCATAAGGCTTCAGCCACCTGTCACTTCTGCTTTTATAGCCCCCCTGACATTAGTATTGATTTCAGGGATTAAGCAAACCACTGTCCTAGGAAAGTCAGGAAGTGTCTGAGGAAATTGGGGTTTGCAGCACGTGGCTGGCCAGATTGCTCTGCTGTTCCTTGAGGCAGGTGTCTGTCTCGGGAGTCACCACAGTGTGTCACATCACCTCCTTCTCTAAATCATTCATTTGGGGCCTTCTTAGGTGGTGAACGTCTCCTTCTCCGATAACTTGCTGCTTACATTATGAATTCCTTGAAAATTGACTCCCCGGGACATCTTTACAGGAGACATCAAGGGTCTCCATTTAAATTTAATGAATATTATGTAATTTGCCAAGGACTTCTACAATATAGAAAGAAAATCTGCCTCTTTGAGACCAGAGCTTTGCCAAAATAATGGCAGCTTAATGGCATCCTTTGGAAGCAACTGCTGACTCTCAGTCTATGAGTATTTTCCATTTCCTAATAAAATGTTTTCCCATTAAAGCAGCTTATTTCATTAGCTTATAATTCATAGCTTAAACATGCTTATATTTTGCTAATTGTAGATTACTTAGTGCTTATTTTTAAGGAACACTGAAGCACAAAATACAAAATGTCAGGGTTTTTTTTAAACGAAAAGTCTTGCCTTGTGCATAGCAATTGCATTTGGATAAGCATTTTTAAATATGCTATTTTTAAGGAGTTTTTACATGCTATTTTAAACTAAATAATTAAACATCTAAAGCAAGAAACAATTTGAAGTGTTCATGCAATTTATAGCTTTAATTCCTTTATGGATACGTGCTCCAATATTTTATAGTTATGATTCAAAAGCTACCACAGTTACATATTTTAAATTGCAATTGTGTGATTCCAAATTATTCTTTTCCAAAGTACACAAATCCAAAGTATCTGATACACTCTTCTGTGTTTTGTAAAAGTCAAAAGTGAGCTCTGGGAGAAGTAAAGTCTTCCTAAGAAGTTGTCCAAACCTTTGAGTTGAAGTGCAGTGCAGAGAGCTGTGGCTGTGCAGCCTCAGGCACTCCTTTATCCAACAGCCTGGCATCAAATCTGCCTGATTTCTTTATAGCTGGGGGACAGGAGAATAGGAATCAGTTTGCAGCAGGTGCTGGGTGCTGCTTGTAAGGACCGAGTTAAAAGATGTTCCTGCTGTGTGAGATGTGCTCTTGGCTTTTTTGTGTTTGTGAAGTGTATTGCATGTGAATACCAGGTTCACGTGTTTCCAGGGTCAGATATGGAAAACTTCCTGTTTTCTTATATTTTTCACATTAAAAAAACTTGTGTAAATTTTATTGTTGGTGGCCAGATTATATTTGGCTACAACACATGTAACATTTCACTTGATTAATGTTACTGCTATTTGAGACCCTCGTGTAATTGGCCTCATAATCCTCACACAGAATACTGTGAAATAGTGTGAATTTGAAGCTGAGAGACTGATGAAAGGAACATCCGTCAATAGTGGGGAGAAATAAAATAATCCTAATTAAAACCAAAAGAATTGTGTGATCTGAATTAAGATTCAGCTGGTGGATACTTAATCTGTATTTTTTCTGGTAAGTATTTTTATTGTAACTTTCTGGTATAATTGCTTTGGAAAAAACCTCATCCTTTGTGTTTCATGGTATAAACTTTACTGGCTCTCTCTAAACCAAATACTGAATTAAGGACTTGGGCTTAACCTTTGTTTCATTGGACATGATTTCAGAGGGTTTAAGCAGCTTTTTATTGCTGGAGCTGATGACGACAGTTCTATTTGCTAACAGGGTCAGAGCTGTTCTTTTATCTGTCTCAGGGTTTTCTGTGTGGTTCTGAGTTCTGAACATTTCAGCACAGTCTATTTCGAGCATGATTTAGAGCTCGTTCCAGTTCCCTTCATTCTTACGCACGCCGACGTGTCGAACTGCTCCAGAGATGGCTCTGCTCTCACCATATTTGGAGGCTGTTCCTCTGCTTTGCTCTTGGGCTGCTCTGGAAGGGAATTACGTCTAAAGTAACAAATGAAATATGTGCCGGGAGCCGACTGCCAAAGCCGGCACCAAAGCCAGTTTCTGAAGAGCTCACTGGGAAACTATCCTGAACTTTGGGAGGAGGACTCAAAGCCACACTCTAAACAGAGCAAACCACAGCGAAAGGAACGCCGAGGGGAGAAGGGATTTCTTGAATAAGGTGTGTGTCCCTCTGAGAGCAGACAGTCCCTTCAGTCTGAGGGGAGAGGAAGCCAATAAGCAGATGAATTTCCAAGTGCAGATCAATCAGGGGGGTTGGTCAGCGTGTTCTGGGGCTGCAGGCTCACAGACCTTTGCAGTTCCTGTTGGGGCTCACTGCACACAAGTGTGTTAGTCAAAGAGCATTCAGACTAAAAGGTGACATTTGTTGATCACGTCATGTGGGGCATCATTAAGTTGTTTGAAAAGTTGCCAAGTTTGAGGATATGTTCTGTTAAATACACTCAGTGTCCTCCTCATCTCACTTAAAACTGTGAGGACATTCAGCTTCGTTTCATTAGTTTTAGGCAGTTCACCTGAATAAAGAGGCCACGTTTTTCCCTGAATCCTTCAGAGGAACGTGTAGACTTGCAGAAGGCAGCTGCTGTAACTGAGGGGATGGCTGTACCTTGTGGTTGAGGGGGTGTTAAAAAAAGCTGGCATTGGAGAAAAGAGAGTTCTGTGAAAAACCAAAGCCTCTCTCACAATCACAGGATCTCTCAAACTCACAAGGTTTTAAGTTGTTCAGAAATAGCTGGAGAAAACCATCCAGCGGTGATGGTCTCTAGCAATTGGGAGTTGTAAAGAGAAACAGGAATTTTAGAAGGAGAGGAAGTAAAACAGCTTTTAGACAGTGGCTGTGTTAATGTTGATCAAATGCTAATACATGAGGTAGCAGGAGAAGGGAACAGCAGCTCTCTCAGAATATAAAAGGTGCAGAATGAGCTTGTTGAGTTTTCCAGTGGCAGACAGGAGAAGCAATAACTGCTTCCTTCCAGGAGGCAATAACTGCCTGGCCGTGGTGAGCATCACACGTCAGGAGTGTGTGAGAGGCTCTGAACACAAACAGCAGCAGATTTATCAGGTTTTCCTAGTGCCTGGAAAAAAGCACACAAATTGCCCTCCAGAGTAAATTGCTTGAAGTACAAGCTCTTGATTTTATTTATTTATTTATTTATTTATTTATTTATTTGTTACCCA